AATGTTCTGCTATTACTTCCTTAGTAATTGATTCCGAAATTTTTCTCGCAATTGATATTAGGCTAATTATTACCTCTTTTTTACCTCCGTCCCTTTTGAATAGGAATGTCACATTGGCAGTTTTCCAAACCTCCAGTACTTCTCCAGAATCCAAGATTTTTGGAAAGTTACAACCAATGCATCCATTATCCCTGTAGCTATTCTTTTAGGATTCTAAGACGCAAGCCATCAGGGCCAGGGGACTTATCTACTTTTATCCCCATTACTCTAATACTACTTCTCCAGTGATGGTGACGGTACTTAATTCCTCCCCCACACCTCCATATTCTTTTGTATTAATGGGATGTTCATAGTATCTTCCATTGTAAAGACTGATGTAAAATATCCGTGTAACTCCTCTGCCATTTCTTTGTTCCCATAACTAATGCCCCTGATTCATTTTCTAAGAACATAGAAGATAATTATCAAATGAAACCAAAAGAAATTCAGAATGTTGTGCATTTATTCTGAGTACTAACATTACTCTGTCAGCTGCAAATGAACTTTGTTGCTGTGTCTGAGTTGCTAGACTGTAAAACTGTAGAATGCACACAGAACAAGAAACAGTTACAACCTAATCTTACTACATTTCTGTTCAAGTTTGGGAAAATATGGTAAGTTATGGTGAGGCAAGTAGGTTAATATAGGACCTAACACCAAAGAATTGTGGTTAATATATTAAATCCTTGCACAGAACGGACCTGCACTTTAAATGAAGACTGCTGTGCCAATACTGGGACCCTGACTGGATTCTTGATAAGTAAAATTTTCAACATAATTCCTATGTTTGCACTTTCTCTTACATTATTTTCTGACTATATAGATAAGTTGAGAATTTACACACAGCTGATCTGTCCTGATCCAAGCATCAAGTGCTTATTTGGCTAGATGTCCCTGCAACCATCCTTCTGTTAAAATGGCAGGAGTACTTTGGAAAATACAATACTTATGTTGAGGAATCAACTAATTGAGAAAATTGCATGTAACCCTTATGAAACTGAATAGGTCTGACTTATGCTGCAATGGAAATATAAATCTGTGATTGAGCTACCTCTCCTTCACACTAAAGATCTTTCTCCGTGTGATTCCATCAATAATTTTGTTCAAATACTCAGCCTTCTTGCAGGAAAACCCAGTGTCTAGATTTGGGACAAAGTTACTACTTGAGTCCACCAATTAACCAAAGAAGCAACTGGGTTGGTGGCGTTTTCAAAACTCACTCTGACTCTACCAAGCATCAAATTATTATCCCCCAGTTGGAAATATTCACTGTTTTCATTTTGTATTGATTTGGATTACATTGCTATGGTATGAATGCTATGTTTTCTTGCTTGCATTTCCGCTGATCTGTTACACTTTAGGAATTCAAAGATATGTGTGTCTGAAATTATTTTTAACTCAACACTGCAAATTGAACAGCTGATGATCCTTCAGGGCTCTCCTGGGTCACCAATGGTATTTTGGCTATAAGTGACATAGAGAATTGAAGCAGGATCAATCTAGTAAATTAGAGATTGATACAAAAGCAACGTAATACTACAAATGCTGGAAATTTGAAATAAGAAAATACTGGAGATACTCAGCAGGTTTGGCAGCTTCTACACAGAGAAAAATAAAGTGGCCATTTTAGGTTGATGGACTTTTTGTCAGAACTGGAAAAGGTTAGAGATGTGACAGGTTTTCAGCAAGTGCAGAGGCAGAGTAAGAAAGGAGGAGAGAAATGAGCCAAAGACAAAGTATTTTGATAGAGTAGAAAGCAGTACAGGTAAAACGAAAAAGGGGTGATGGTGTAAGACAAAGAGGGTGAGAATAGGACAAGAAACATGGCAGGTCTAGAGGAAGTGTAAATGGCAACAGCAGATGATGTCCAAAACCAAAAATAGATTGGGATGGGATGGATAGCAGAGATTTTAATCTGCAATCGCTGAACTGAAAGCTCAATCCGGAATGCTGGAAGTGTATAATCATGCTAGTCAGACTAGTCAGAGATGTTGCTTGAAGCGGTCATCCAATATGAGTTTGATCTCTCCAGAGCAGGGGTGACTGCGCTGTGAACAACATGCAAACTAACAGGAATAAAGGTATATCACTTATATTTGTAAGGGATCTTCAGGACCTTAGATGGTGAGAATGGAGGAAATACAAGGGCAGGTGTTGCATCTCTAATAGGGCATTCTTTTTCTTAGAATAGGCTATTGACAATATCTAATATAAAGTGACTGTCCATGACTACCTCCCACCCTGCTTCCAGTTAGGGCTCCACTCCATTTTCCCAGTTTCTCCATCTCCATCATACCTATTCTGACATCGTCAAGTTCCACACCAGGGCTTCCACTATGTCCAATCTGATGAGATGTCATTAACCTGAAATGTCTTTTTTCCCCCACAGATACTTTCAGACCGGACAAGCATTTCCAGCAATTTCAGCTTTTTAGCATCTGCAGTATTTTACTTTTGCATTTAGGATTTTTGTTTCATTAATCACAATTGTGGGTAGGGCCTTCAAACATGTTGGATCCATTTTCCACACATACTTTCACCTTTTCGTTTCTGTCTGCGAACGAGGATTCCCTTTGTCGTCACCTTCTGCCCAACCACTTTCTACATGCAACTGACTATCCACTATCACTTCCATCTGCTCCAGCATGATGCCATCAACAAATTCATCTTAACCTCCCTTTTCCTCCCTTAACAGTAATCTGAAAGCACTGTGGCTTCCATGTTATCTTAATCCATTCTTCAGTCACCCACAACACCCTTCCTTTCCAACAGCACCTTACTATACAAGTACACCTGCCATTTTACCTCATCCTTCCTCATTATTCAAGGCCTCAAACACTCCTTGTAGGCGAAATGGCAATTTACATATATATCTTTCCATTCAGTATGCTGTATTCGTTGCTTATGATGTGGTCACCTCTGCATCAGGGAGAACAAACTCAGCTTTGATAACCATTTCGAGGAATACCTCCGTTCAGTCTGCAAGCATGTGTAGGCATTTTACAGCCTTCTGGAATTATACATTCAGTTAAACAACTTCAGATTTTAACCTGTCCTTTTGTTTTTGATTTTTAAATATGCTGATGGTTCTGTTAATGCTATTTATACCTATACTAAATCCATACTTTATTACTTTCCCTGTCCTATTGCTATACCTTTTGCTAATTAATCTTCCACCCTTTCATAGACCTTCCCTTTTGTTCTTTTCCCTTGCCTCCCCCTCTTCTCAGCTTCTCTACCTGCTGAAAACCGTATACATTTGTAACTTTTTCAGTTCTGGTTAAAGGCCATAAATCAGAAATGTTAACTCTGTTCCCTCTCCACAGGTATTGAATATTTCCTGATCTTCTCTTAAATTGTTAATGTTATAATTGAAATGAAACTTTGAAAACAGAATATTCAGTGTTTTGCCAAGGTTCACTGGGGAGAAGTGTAGAGGGTCCCCGGGAAGTTCTGGTGTAAAAAAAACACACGAGGTCACTTGCCATCATCCCCTGGAATATAGCACTGGCATGCACTGTAAATGTGAGTCTATTATGATGTGTGTTTCCAGAAAATTGTGGTCCCCTGTAACAGTCCTCACAAACTCATAGATGTTTACAGCACAGGAGGTCATTCGTCTGGTAGCTTTCCTATCAATAGTTTTCTCCAAGCTTTTGCCAAAACATCTTTGAAAGCTACCTGAGCAGACTCTATGATAAGGGGAAAAGTGGTGTAAAGAGGGTAATATTCTCTAATTATTCCACTTGCCCTGTAAGAAAGAGTCTGATGTTCCATTTGATGACTTCACACAATGATATAACCAAGAACTGCTAAAAGCAGCAGCAACAGGTTGAGGGGTGACCTTACATAGGTTTAAAAAATCATGAAGAGTATAGATTAAGATGAATGGCAGGTGTCTTTTTCCTAGGGTTGGGATTTTCAAGACTAGTGGGCATATCTTTAAGGTGAGAAGAGGAAGATTTAAAAAAGACATGAGGGGCAATTTTTTTACACAGAGTGGTGCACGTATGGAATGCACTGCTAGAGGAAATGGTGGATGTGGGTATAGTTACAACGTTTAAAACATATTTAGATAAGTATGAGTAAGAAATGTTTGGAGAGATATGGGCCAAAATCAGGCAGGTTGCACTAGTTCAGTTTGGGATTATGGTTGGCATGGACTGGTTGGGGACTGAAGGATCTGTTTTGGTGCAGTATGACTCCATTCTGATTCTAAGAACAAGATGTTCCACTTTCAATTACTGCAGTCACATTAATACAAATTGTGACACCTCACGTTTATTATCACTTACTTCCAATATGTTGTACAGTAAAGTCACAACAGACATTCTCTCAGAAGATCAGAACACAATGTCGTCTGAGATGGTACTTCCCCATCGCAACGTCGACAGTGGCCTATCACTTGTGAAAAGCTGCATTTGAAAGCTGGAGCCGACAAGCTCCACTGATGGCTCCAAAGCCAGTCTCACTCGTAAGTCTACTCGTCCCTGTCCACTGCAATAGCAATGCCATCTCAAAGGTTATCAACAGCAGGTTGTGCGCAAACATTGCGCCCCCCGTTTCTGAGATGACCCGCAATAACCTTTCCTCCTTCCCCTTTTCACATTTCCAATGTTTCTTCAGTTGAATACAAACACACCTTAATCCACGCGACTCGCTTCTATTGATCGATGGAGATGAAACCTTCTTAATCCTGAAACTCCCGCGCTTCAAGCTGTTTCCAGAATCGACTCCCACTTACTGCCTGACAAGCCTATCGCGCAAAATCGGGATTAATGTTTCCTAACTTAGCACAGAGGAACGAACCACCAATGTTCATGGTCAAAATAAGCAGACCTTCCCTAGCCAAGTTAAGAAGATGTTATTCGGACCCGTACGCACCATAAAAACCTGTTGTACACCTGACCGGTTTGCTTGTGATTCCTCGCCTAGTCGCAGCACCCTCTCCTCTCCCTTACCTTGGTGAGAGTTTCCGCCTGTTTAGGGCTCAGGTCTCCGACTCGTCCGCTCATTGCAGCTTCTGCAGCTCATCTGACAACTGGTTTCTGGTTAATGTTGCTACGCTCCGCCTCGCCCCTGACGCATGGCAAAGCCTCCGCTATACCATCCCTCCCTCTGCTGGTCTGACATATATGCAGTACATTACAATGTATCCACGAAAATCCCGTTTATAGGGAAAATGGGCTTTGTTCCAAAACATGAACGGTGCCATGTCATTTAAAAGAAGCTGATTTTAAAACTACAATTGTACCCTCTGGTGGTAAATCAAAGCTGCTCATTTTAAGGGTAGGCGACGGCCTAGTAGTATTATCGCTGGACTATTAATTCAGACACGCAGCTAATATTCTGGGGATCTAGGTTCGAATCTAGGTGGAATTTGAACTCAATAATAACCTAGAATTCAGTGTCTGACGATGACCATGAAACCATTACTGATTGTCAGGAAAACCCCATCTGGTTCACTAATAGCAGTCTTGGATGGAGTACAATTTTCCAACGGCTAAACGTCAGGAAGACTGAAAGCATTGTCTTCAGTATATGCCATAAACTCAGTACCTTTGCCACCAACTCTAAACTTCTTCCAGTTTCAGGATGTGCAGCTGCCGGTACTGGACTGCGGTGGACAAAGTAAGAAGTCACATGAGAGCTGGTTATAGTCCAACAGGTTTATTTGAAATCACAAGCTTTTGGAGCGACCTGGACTGATAACAATCTCAATATTCTATTCACCATAACCCGAGGTTGTACATCTAAAGCTCTCCAACACAAGAACTGTTTATTTTCACCACCATTACACTGCCTGCCTCACATCACGTCAGCCCAGCCACCTAATCCCACTAAAAATATCATCCTTGCCTTTTTCACCTCTAGGTTCAACTATTCAAATACCCTCCTACGTCATCTTCCCATACTTTCCACTTTCGTATAAAGTATAGGTAACCTAATGTTCCTGCATTGTCCCACTCATCCATTTCCCAAAATAAGTAAACATACAAAATGAATATCCAAAAAATATAACAAAAACAGAAACTGCTGGAAAAGCTGTGGGTCTGGCATTTATGGATAGAAATCAGAGTTAACCTTTCAGGTCAAGTGACCCTTCCTCAGAATTTGGGCCTCTGAGGAAGGGTCACTCGACCCAAAACGTTAACTTTGATTTCTCTCCACAAATGCTGCCAGACCTGCAGAACTTTTCCAGCAATTTCTGTTTTTGTTTCTGATTTATTTCAGTTTCGGAAAATCTAACTTTGCTCCATCCACTAATAAGTAATCCACAAAAAATTTGTTTCCTTGTGTGCTCCATCTCCATCTGGATCACATACTTGTATACCATATCCCAGCTAAGTGAGTTTTTGAGATCCTGTATCTTTCCCAGTGTCCCTTTTGATACAAAGCATAAAAATGCAGTGAACTTTTAGGGTTGATCCGGTCTTTGCTGTGTAACATTCTCAGAATTTTGTATTTAAGCTCCACTCCACTCATGAGGAAAGAGAGTTGCATTGTTGGAGCTTCATCGTCTTTTGGGTGCAAAGTCACACTGAGGACCTAAGTACACTCTCAAGTGGATCTAAAAGATCACATGCACTAAAGAGGAGCAAAGGGAGTTTTTCCTACTGTCCCGGTCAACTTTACAACACAAATTTTGTGGTATTTACCTCATTTGTAGGACTTTGTGGTATGCCACGATAATGAATGATTGCTGTATTATTGAAAATGGCTGTCATATTTATCTTCATAAATCAAAATTAAAGTCTACCAGGCTGTAAAAATAACTCACCTTTATTGAAACCTGTTTATAAATCAATGCAATCAATACCTATTCACCAATTAAAAATTAAATAACCATTCTGATGAGTCCTCAGTGAACCATAAATGAATATTGTTTTAAAAGTGCTGATGCCCAAGATTTTCAGCATTACCACTTCACTGTAATTTTTTAAAAAATCATTTAGTGTTGTTCCTTGTCGACATGTTCTGCAGATTTAATGTCCCTTGAGTTTTGAAAAATTTCCAATATTACATTACCTGCTTTGATATAAAGAGGAGACAATAGCAATATTAAGAACTGCAGGTATATGTGGCATGCATTGAAAATATAAAAAAAAGCCAAACCTCAGAATTTTAATATATTTACTATTATTCCCTTAGCTTGAGTACATGCCTGTTTCTTACATCAATTATGGTAAACAATGGTTGGATGAAACAGCATAAAGCTTTTGGGTTTCAGCATGCTGTAGTTTAGAGTTGTAAGATGTGCATTCATTGCCACAATTCTCACCATACTATTAGGGAGATGTACCAAGAAAGATCAAAAGATGCAGCAGCCTCTATTTTCCATCATATCAGTCAGTCCTGATAAGCCAATGTTGTTCAACAGAATTTTGATGCTCGCCAAATTTGTGGAAATCGGGTCACTATATTTTCTAGATGATACAAAATATACATCGACATAATCAAATATGCAATATTTTGATAATAGGTTTGGCGTTTTAAACCATCAGTAATCAATGTATTCACTGCTAGAGTCAGGTAAACAGATTGAGAAAAGCCTTAACAATATAACTGATCCACAACACAAACTGTTGTATAACTTCTCAAAAAGGTGGTGACAGTCTACTAACAGAACTGAAAAAAAACAGAAAATGATAGAGAAACTCAGCAGGTCTGGCAGCATCTATGCATAGGAAAACAGAGTTAATGTTTCGAGTCTAGACTGACTCTTCTTCCAACCCAACAGAAATATGCTGTTTCTGACAGTGTGCTCTAGTTTATTTTGGAAAATAACAAATTTCAAAAGTGAATCACCTCTGTTTTATCAGAATTGATATATTGCAAAGCTTAGGAGTGAAAATAATTGTAAAATCTCTACTAGCTTTTGCATTCTGATCTTTGTCTTATTTACATTCAATTACCTAACGTTTCCACAAAATCTGTCCACACGTTTAATAATTTCTTTTGCACCAAAGGCTCCTTATTCCTTTCAGTCATTTCAACAGGTCATTCATAAGATAGTTGAACATATTTGCATCATGTTGCAACACCAAAATTTTTCCTTTCAACTCTCATTGAGAGCTATGCAGTATAATCATTCTCACACCTTATTTGTTTTATTAAAACTGCCAACCATCAACTAAACTAAACCAAGTTCTCCCAAGTCATTAGTTCCCTAAAGAAATTTCAACAGTAACCAGACCGCTATTCTTCAGAAGATTGGCTTTGCTTTCACTGTGGTCCCACTCATCTAAATTATCATCATTTATAGGAATCCAAACTGAGCAGAAAGAGCGAAGGCAATGCACCATGGACTGATTTCCTTATTTCATTAATTGAGTAATTGGCCTTTATGTTTCAAGTCGCTAGGAACTCAACCAAAAAGTAATTTTGATAAACATAAATCACTTCTGATTGATATGTAATTTCTGACTAAAGCAACAGGGTTGATTCTTCCTTGCTCAATTAGGGATGGACAACTAATAGCGGTCTGGCAAGTGACACATTTCATACTCACTGCTGCAACTTTAGCACAACTCAATAGTATGTCTGCATCAATCCACTATGTCAGTGGTTTATTCATCACATATAGTGACAGGCAGGTTTATTAGGCAACACTACAACAAGATAAATATGACAGCTAGCGAAGATGAATTGTGTCTCAAGAATTTTGTAAAAATTAAGAATGAGGAGTTTTAAAATTGAGCAATGTTATAAATTTAGAAGAAGGCAGCCTTTGAGATGAAGATATGGAGCTGAACACTCAGACTGAATAAAACATTGAGACTGTGAAGAATCTTGCTTAGTTTGGACTAAGCTAGGACAATTTGTGATGTGCAATCTGTGGCAGGAATTGAAGATGATGGCTTCAGTGTTTACAATGATTGGCTGGAAGAAGTTGTGACTCATCTAAGATTGAACGTTGGAAGAGCAATCTGATAACACAGAAGATTGGAAGGGAAGATTATTTTTACAGCAGTACTATAAATTACTGTTGTTGGAAAATTTGCATATTGAAGTTCATAATGTGACAAGTAACCTTTATTCATAAAATGATCCAATAGAAACAAGTTGATACATTATCCTGACAATAAAATATACTTCAGATTATATAATTCCTTTCAACATTAAAACAAACCTGTAAAATGATTTAGTTTCACAGTGCAATTACCATTAAAATACAAATGAAAGCATGTAATTTAAGGATAGTTGTCTGTAGTTTTAGAAACATGCATAAATCAGATTACCTGTCTGATTTGAAGCTGAGCTGTTACCATTTTGCATTAGGTAAATGCAAACTAACATGGGGAAAGGAGACACAAGCAGATTTTTTAAGAAGTTGAACTTTATTAGCGGTACCACTGAAACATTCATTTTGTGATCAAAAATTAAATGAAACCAAAATTATTGCAGTATTAAAACAAATAATTGAGAATACATTTTTTAAAATGCAAAAGCATGACTGAAATTAATTTTTTCAAGTTTTTACAAAAGTACTGTGAGGAGTTCCGTTTAGTGGGAACAAATTGGAATAGGTTTCCTATACTGGATTCCACGCTTTCATCGGGTTATGTTTGCACCAGTTGTGCGTTTATCCAGAATCAACCCATTGAAAACGCGAATAATAATGATGATCAATACAAAGTTACACAGACTGGTTTAAAAGAACATTCTGGTATTTCGATCGCTCTTGGTCATTATCAATTACGCTAAGGCTGTTTTTATTTGTTTTTAGTTGGACTTGCAGAACTCAAAGAGCTAGAACGAATTCAACCAAAACGTAGTAACTGTTCGGCTTTTACTAGATGAGTCGGTACTTATTGCCCAGCCAAAGAGGACAACGGGAATTTATTACAACAAAAAAGTGGCTTCAGATGTCATGTCCCATAGAGCTTCGAAGTTATTCTCTCACTTAAAACATAGTGGCTTCAATTATTTTGTCACCTTACGCAGTGGTTATTCTATTTTTAAAAATTGCAGTCTTCAACTTGGGTTCTGTTGGTATTATTTCTTCCTCACAAAGATATAGATGAACATGCATTTAGGTGAAAGAAACTATAGTAACTACACACTCAAAGACCACGCTCTCCTGTAAATGAGCAGACTTGCCTGGGGAATCTTCATATCCGATCAGTAAAATCAAATGGGACGGAACCGTATTCATCAGATGCAGCGCTAAGGTTTGACAAAGAAAAATGAACATTTAAGGTGGAACAATAATTTTTCAAAACGCCGTGCTCACCATACAAAGCGCAGGCTCCTCCCGGGACACTAGGCCTAACCAGGTTACCCCGGTAACGAGCGAGAATGACGCAGTGACCCGGAAGAAGTCCTCGCTGATGGACAGGAGCAGTGGGGAGGACGGTCTGAAGATGGTGGCATTACCGGCTTGTTGGCAGCGTCTTGGTTTTTACTCCCTCTTGGCCGGCTATTTCTTCCGCTGGTGCGCGGTGGCAGCCGAGAAGGTGGCCTCGGTGGATGTATTTCTTATGGATTCTCGAACGGGTTGGTCCGCAGAGTTCGGCTTCAAGTCGGGCAGCAGTTACCGGCTGCAGGGCACCGTGTTGGCGCTTGGCAGCGGGTCTGACAGCCCCAGCCAAGGTAACCAGGGGCTGTGCGCCTTTCCAAAACATAACCAGGACAGCTTAGAAGGAAGCTTAATATTAGTAAGTGCTGCATTGCGTCCGTCTATGGATGCATAAAACACTTATCTTCAATGCGTTAATCTTTCTGCACAATCTACAGCAACCGCCCCCCACCCCGTGAATTTGCACCAAGATGTTTAAATGCAAAATAACCCCGAAGGCACAATGAGATGTATTTACAAGTGATATGACCGAGTTTATATATGTTTCCATTCGGGTCCGCTCCTCAAAGCGCAGCTCTTCCAAATGTGTGAGAAATGCTAATTGTTTACATTTTTTTCCAGTTGTAGTGTTTTGTTGCAAAACGTTGCGTTACTTTAGTCGTGTAACAAGTAGTTGTTGTAAATGCTTTTTTTAAGAAGAGTGATTTATGGTCAGCCAATCACTTATTGACAGTTCAAATTTCTTTTAACTTGCATAAATAGTAATTTGATAGTTTGGCCCAATATTGTTAGATATTGGGTGATTACAAATGTGTTTCAAGAATTGATGGAAGAAATCGGCCAGTTGAATATTGTACCTTTGGTATGGATTTTCATCCAAAATGGGCTAATTTTGTCTTTAATAGCTAGTTACTGAATCGTATCTTTAATATTAAGGCTTTTGTTACAATTTCTGAAGAGACTGATAACTTCTTAATTGGAAGTTTGGTTTTTGTTTTAATAGCTGAAAATATATCAAAGCAAGATTTTCGCTAGACTGTTAATCCGGAGACGGATAACATTCTGGAGACTCGGGTTCGAATCCTGCCACAGCAGATAGTGGAATTTGCATTCCATGAAATATCTGGAATTAAAAATCTAATGATGACCATGAATCCATTGTCGATTGTCAGAAAAACCCATCTGGTTCACTAATGTCCTTTAAATGGGTGGCACAGTGGTTAGCACTGCTGCCTCACAGAGCCAGGAACCTGGGTTCGATTCCACCCTCTGGCGACTATCTGTGTGGGGTTTGCACATTCTCTCCTCGTCTGCATGGGTTTCTTCCCACAGTCCAAAGATGTGCAAGCCACGTGGTTTGGCCGTACTATATTGTCCATAGTGTTCAGGGATGTGTAGATTAGGTGTGCTGTGCGGGGATGGGTCTGGATGGGATGCTCTCAGGGTTGGTGTGGACTTGTTGGGCCAGGGAGCTGGTTTCCACACTGTAGGGATTCTATGATTCTATCATTTATGACTTTTACTGCAACAAAATACTTCAAACACTATTGTCTAAATTTTGTTTTTGTAGGCAGTCTATACTTCAAAACCACAAACCAAACATCCCTTTTTTAATAAAACCAAAAGCACATCACTGCTATATTTCTCACTAATCTTTGTTATCCATCCAATTTTACTGAAGTTCCACCCCACCCTACCCCAGAGTGACTTTATTTTACAGAATCTTTAATTCACTTTATTAGGACCAAACTAAAGGTATGCCATAGCGCTTTAGTTTTACTGCAGTGCCCTAGCTGTTCTCTAAAGTACAAAATTTCATGTGGATCCTTTCATTCACTTTTGGATTAAATCCCCAATTTATTTATGCAACCTCACAACTATGGATTTCTCAGCTCAGACCAAGGTTTTGCTATATTCTAGCTTGGGAATTTAAACATCTGGAACATCCCTGGTTCATAATGTATTTTTTTGCTCTTTGATCTTCTGTACTGCTGTTGGTCTCACAGATGATCCTTGGCTTCTGACATTTCCTTTCTCTCTGTTTTATCCAGGCTGACAGCCTTCACTACTTTTTGTTAAGGACCACTGTAATATTTCCTCAAGCAAAGAAACTCTTTCAACTCAATTTTCTTTTATAAATCCAACTTTTATATCTGCTCTCAAACGCACTCGGGTGATTGCATTCCAGATGATTACCACATGCTGCAATATAAGTTTTCTTCCATGTTGGCTTTGATACTTTTACTAAGCAATGTATAGCGTCTGGTCCTTGACCCACCATCAGGAGCAGTTTCTATCCAGTCTGTGTAGATCTACAATTTTGAACATCTCTCCCAATTCTTATTTCAACCTTATATCTTACATATGGCATGGACTTCCAGAACATGTATATCTTCCTTCTTATGTCATATGTTTATATTGAAAAACTTGATTGTCAACGAAAATCTCCTATAAAAATGCAAATATTTGACTGTCCAAAAAAAACAACGAATGTCACTCACATGGTTCCTGATAACATTTTCATCCACTTTAGTTGGTTAGTAACTGAAAGTTCTAGGGAGCTGTTGTCTGATGTTCAGTAAAAAATCTTAACTTTGTATCAATATCTTAGTGTGCTTGCAGCATGGGAACTATACTTCTTCCAGTTCTGCTGTAACTAAGCATTCAGCTTTATTGTGGATTGCATGTGTCATATTATAGATGGTCAATTGAGTAATATCCGTCTTTCTGTTGACCTGATGGATGCACCTTACCTATCAGTAGATAATAAATTAATTTACTATTTAGAATAAATATGCAACCAAATTGCAAGGTTGTAAGTAAAAGTCGTCTGAATGGTAGAACAGTTAAGTGACAAAGTAACTCATACATTCCCTCAAAGTGTGTGAGCACAGAATTCTGAAGACTTTTCCTGGAAAACGCACACAGGGACTGATGTTTTTACTTTATACTTTAAGACAGTTACTTATATGTAGTAGTTTAATGAAGCGCAGTTAAAATTAGGTGACAAAAAATTATGGTTACTTATTACTTTTAAGGTTAAAGATGAACAGTTCGACATCCGGCCAGATACTGGAGAGAAATGGATTGGTGTTGTGCCTGTTGATGAAGACCATGTTGAAGGAAAAGGGAACAACAAGCAGGAATCATTTGCTGCAGCTGTTGTTAGTAAGGCAAGTAATAGAATATGCTTCAAATTTGAAAAGTACACTAATCTGAAATGCACAGATTTAATAAACTAGTCATTCATGTAGTAGTGTGGGGTTTGCTTCTATAGGAATTAATCCTACATTCCTTTTATATTCATTGCTAATCTCTCTAAACAGCACTCAAGTAAATGCTATGCTATTATCTTCCCTATTAAGATTATCTTTAATTTCTCCTTGTGTTCTGAATAACCTTTGAATAACACTGCTTATTTCCGAGATATTAACTGTATCAGAGAACGAGTATATGAATTAGGAGCAGGACTGGGCCATTCGGCCTTGTACGTCTGCTTCACCGTTCAGTAAGATAATGGCTGATCTGGGTTGTTGCCTCAACTCCACCTTCCTGCCTACCTTTGACTTCTTCATCAAGGATCTTTTCTACTTCTGTCTCAAAAATATTTAATAAATCTGTTCCCACCACTCTGTGAAGAGGTTCAATATAAATATACTTTTCTGGGTAATATAAGCTGCCTCTTATTATGTGCATTTTATTTAAATATTTGGTAAATAACTCTTTGAAGCATGTACGCAATCAGAGAATGAAAGCTAATCTAAATTAATGAATCCCTTCCTGTTTATACTGATATTCACTTTAAAAAGGCAAAGTCTGTATCAGTTTATATGATAATATACCGCTTAATTATATTGCTGATGTTTTGAGACATTTTAAGTCATGTATGCACATTTACTTACTATGACTGCAAATTTAATTGAACAGTACTGTTGCAATTTTATAACCAAACATCTTGATTTTAGGTGAAACTAAATGAATGGAGTTAAAACTGTTAACAGGAGTCTGCTGGTGTAAGACTTTTTTAGTATTTGCCTATTTAAATGAGTCAGTCATTAGGAAGTTATTTTCCATGGGTTGCTTTTCCACTGTATTTATTCCTGTTACCTATTAACAACAAGTCACCATCAGTTCCGAAATACAAACTGATGTTTCCCATTCACCATCAGTTCTGAAAATATAAACTGACATTTTCCCAGCCACCATCAGTTCTGAAACTATCTCTGACTCCTCCCTTCCCTACCTTGACATTTCTGGGGATAAACTTGCCAATAATATCCACTACAAACCCACTGACTCCCACAGCTGCCTGGACTATACATCCTCACACCCCACTTCTTGTTAAGACTCCATCCCATTCTCTCAGTTCCTCCGTCTCCGTCGTATATGTTCACATGAGGCCAATTTCGATAAGGGAGCCTCCGAAATGTCCACCTTCTTCCTTAACCGAGGATTCCCCAGCACCGTTGTTGACAGGGCCGTCAACCAGGTCCGACCCATCTCCCGCACTTCCGCTCACACCCCTTCTTTTCCCTCCGGCAGAAAGGTCCACCTGAAAAAGGGTCCAGACCCGAAACGTCAGTTTTCCTGCTCCTCTGATGCTGTCTGGCCTGCTGTGTTCATCCAGCTCTACACCTTGTTATCCCTGAACTACCTGTTGCCTGCCACTTTAACGCACCACTCTGTTCCCTGGCCAACATCTCTGTCTCTGGCTTGCTGCAGTGTTCCAGTGAAGCTCAACGCAAGCTGGAAGAACAACACCCCACTTTCCCCTTGGACCCTGCAGGCTTCCGGACTTAATACCGAGTTCAATAATATTAGGGCCTAAACTCTCCCATGTCCTAGCCCCCTACCCCACACACCAGGCCTTGTTACCACATAGCCTGCCATCACACACCACCTGTTGTTAGTCACTAGTAGTCCCCATTAACAACTATTCACCCTCCCAGCCTGATTGTTAGCAACTCGTTTGTCTGTCCAACTGCTCTTCTCTTCAGCCTCTATCCTATCGTTTACTCCCTACCCCATCCCCCTCCCCTTTTTTTCTGCATATAAACTGACGTTTTCCCAGCCACCATCAGTTCTCAAGGAGGGTCACCGGACCCGAAACGTTAACTCTGTTTTTTCCTTCACTGATGCTGCCAGACCTGCTGAGCTTTTCCAGCAGCTTTGTTTTTGTTCCTAGTGTATGTCCCATTTGAGGTGGAAGAATTGAAACTTGACCACGCTATGTCAAACATCCAAAGTTCTTGCTCTGTAGCTGTGCAGTTGTTTATATTTAAATTGTTTTTGAACATATTTAAATGAAACAACATTCAGTAGTTGCTGCTGGGGAAATATTACTGAAGTTCGAAGTTACAATTTATCCCATTCCTCTGGAAAGAAAGCTGTATTTGTGTTCATGAGACTCTTTTATTCTTTGAATGGTGTAGATGCAATGCTTGTTTTCTTCGTGCATTTAAAGTTATATAGTTCCGTAAATCTGCAGTTCGCAATTGCATTTCACAAAAGGACATTTAACCTCATCTTGGCGAGGATTTTGAGCCGAGTAGTTTTGTGCTTGGAAGGAAGGAAGGAAGATATTTGCAACAGCATTTATGTTGACAGCTGAATTATGTTTTCATGGATCGAATTTGGTTCTTAGAATTTTTATTATAACTTGTTTGAAAAATGTATATGTGTTTCACTGAGTTTCATGTAAATTTTGCAAAAATTATCTTCAGCTGAAGTTACAGTTATAAATAAATTATCTTTTTTATAACAGGAACAGAAATCACATTAACAGAAGGTCTGTTACAAAGAAACAAATTTAAGGAAAGATAACCATTTTTTAAAACAAAGGAGAATGTATTCATGTCCTTGTAGCAGGCATGTCATCTTAGCTCATTGCTGGTACAGAAATAGCACTTGCTGCTTATCCCCACACTGGATAGAGTTGTTCAATCCGGTTGAGTGTGTTCCTGGTGGATTCATCAAGTCACTTGCAACTCGTGGTGGAGTCGAGTAACCTTCCTAACCGTATCCCCTAACTCCAATATATTTATTTGAGCTTTTGTTTCTTAATTAAAATGTAATACAATTATCTGTTACTGCCCATGTGATTTTTCTGCTGGGTTGGTTGCAACAGTGTCCAAGTGATTAACACGTAATTTCTGAAGACTGCAGGGCACTCCTAGTGGATTAATGATCCTAACTTTGTGACCTGACCCAATTTCATAAATACAACTTGGAAATGAATTGCTATTTGTTATTGATGACTTCTCAGAAGTGACAATGCTGAATAGAATGTACTGTATGTTACTTTTAAGCTTACTGTTCAGAAATAATAGAACCAGGGATCTATTGATATTTTGTAAGTAAATTATATCCTTTATTTTAAAAAAATGACTAGCAAAAGTTGCAGTAAAAATTGTGACTTCTAATTTAGTAACAGACTTCATAGGGTAAATTTGAGATTTACAGCAAAGTATAAACTGCTGATTGTCTTTATGTTTAGACATGTTTACCACCAAAATTGCTATCTGACCTCCAAGTAAGAGATGCTTTTATTTTTACAGATGAAAAGAGCACTTGTTCTGGGAGCGTCTGCCCTTTTGATTCTGGTTTTAAATCAGAATGCCTTCACTGAGGTAATTCAAATGCAAACATCTATTTTACTCCCATACAAAATAATATACATCACCATCAGCATCTATTCAGAATGATTTAAATATTTATGCTGACCCTTTGTTAAGTTTATTGTTATTTAGGTTTCAAATTTCAGTTTATTTTAGGACTCCTGACAAAAGACTGCAACTATTCATTGCTCACCCAAGCCGTTTAATTGTTAAAAGTACCAGTGGCTGAAATATTTTTTTCAAAACTGTTGGTAATTGTGAAATGTGAATTGTTTTACCATATTCACTCTTCCTTCTCAGCGAAATATTTATTTTTAATTTTTTTTCTAAGCATTTCATAATTTACCAATGAATCTTTATTTTAGTGAAAGGATTATTACTTGTATTTTTTTCAAAGATGGACATTTCCCAAGTGCTTTCTAAACCAGTTGTCATAATGCAGAGCTCTGAAAATGTAACCAAGCTTCTCGGAGCCCTATTAAGGTAAGAGAGCACATATTGTGTTTGTTTTTATTTAATGTGCTTTGATTCAGCCATCATGGATTATAGACCATGGAAGGTATTATGTAATATTTTGACATGAAAGATGTGTGCTAAAATCTATTTTCACTCTAATTAAACCATGAACACTCTGTAGGACTTCACTTTTTGTTTTAGGGTTAATAATTCACCAATTGGAAATAGTGTCTGTCTTACCCCTAGGCCCGAAACGTCAGCCTTCCTGCTCCTCTGATGCTGCTTGGCCTGCTGTGTTCATTCAGCTCTACACCTTGTTATCTCTATGTCTTACCCCTGTATTTTTTTTCCCTGCAGTTCGTCTTGTAAAATTAACAAATACTGTTCTTTTTAGGCTGTACTAATTGCCACTGCAACTGCCGGGGACACACTCGCTGCCCTTGCAGTTGCAGCATCTGTGAGTTCATTTCAAATGATACAGTAGATAATTGCTTGTATCAAAGAATAGGAGCAATTAAAAGCTTTGATTTTCAAATACTTTCAAATCAATTAGGTTAAAATCCTGAGATCAGGATATTCACACAGCCCACTGTCAACACTTGTCCATCCCCCTCTTTACCCTTTATTGCTTCCTGCTTGCTTACTGCCCTGATCCATTGCTGTTTATTATACCCTAGCAGTGAATAGAATGCCAAATGGGGCAAGAATCAGAATGGCATAGCAGCTGGAGTCTGAATACAAGTGTAATCTGAACATTCCTTGGGTTTATAACAGATAGTGTGCATGTGCCTGTGGGCGGAGTGGATGCCGACTTTGGTTTCAGACAAAATTTATTATGTCAACTGTGTAAACATCCTATTGTCGTATAGTGCAGAAGATGCACTTTATTACTTAAGAATTAACAATAAATTTGGAAATTCTTTTCTTTTGTTATAATGTTGTTATTTTCCGCGTTTTCTCTTATATTATGGATTTCCTGTGCACTTACCGTCTCCGGCTTTGAGGGTCCTGTGTTAGTGCCCAGGCCTTGCTAAGTCCATCTAGGAGATGAATGAGATTAGCTGACATAATGTTGGGTTTTTTTTTGAGGATGTGCTTGCGTACTGTTCTGTATCTCATTGGAAATTGCCTTGTGAAGACTGAAAAGTCTCTTCCTATGAGACAGCAAGGCACTGCTGCATCAAAAAGACTTGGAATTTTGCCTCAGATAACAAGGTGTAGGGCTGGATGAACGCAGCAGGCCGAGCAGGAAGGCTGACGTTTCGGGCTGAGACCCTTCATCAGAAAGGGCCTGGGCCCGAAACGTCAGCCTTCCTGCTCCTATGATGCTGCTTGGCCTGCTGTGTTCATCCAGCTCTACACCTTGTTATCTCAGATTTTCCAGTATCTGCAGTTCCTACTATCTCTGATGGAATTTTGCCTCTTTTCTTTTAAAAATCTTTATTTACTTCTCATAAATTTATGATGTAATGGTGCCAAAACCTCTACTGTTGAAAAAGTATGCTGGTGTTTCATAGATCATAGAATCATGGAATCATAGATCATAGAATCCCTACAGTGTGGAAACAGGCCCTTTGTCCCAACAAGTCCACACCGACCCTCAGAGCACCCACTCAAACCCATCCCCCTATAATCCACCTAATTTACACATCCCTGAACATTACGGGCAATTTAGCATGGCCGCTCCACCTAGCCTGCATGTCTTTGGACTGTGGGAGGAAACCAGAGCACCCGGAGGAAACTCACACAGACATGGGGAGAATGTGCAAACTCCACACAGACAGACGCCCGAGGGTGGAATAGAACCCGGGTCCCTGGCACTGTGAGGCAGCAGTGCTAGCCACTGTGCCGCCCCAAAAGATATGTCCTTTGAGCCGGAATTCGGAGCCTGTAGGGAATTATTAATTTAAGTGTATTTTTGACATGTTCTCGTATTCCTAAAATCCAACATTCAAATCTAAAGCTATATAAATCGTAAAGTACAATTCACAAAGGAATAGAAAGAATTTATATTTACATAGCATCTTCTCAAATCTCTCATGAATGTTCAAAGTACTTCCTGCTGAATTTCTTTGAAATGCAGTCATATTTAAACTTGCACACATCAATTCTCTAGATAAATGCTTAATGTTTTAAAGCTGGAAGTACATTATTCTCTGCAATTCTGCACTTTGCCAGTTCAATTCTTTAATGGAGTAATGGACGAGGCCTAACAGTGGCTTTTGCATTACCGCTGTTCTTTATTGATGCTGCAGGTATCTTAAAAGATCAAAAGGAAGGTTGATAATGTGTACGTACCATTGCTTGGTTACAATCTCTTTAAATTTTACTTTAACATAGATTGAAAATCTTGGGCGTGCTAAAAATGACTTTTCATTGGATTTCTTTTCAATTGCAGTGGTCTTCGTGCATCTGCCAAAATAACTTTTAAAAGCATAATTCAAGACAATCTGGTATGTCAAATTTTATTTTATCTTTAAATGTTGAAAGTCTGCAGGGCAATTTCTGTATAATAAAATGCATGCATGAATTTGACGCCAGCCAAATGGTCAGTAAAATCATTTGATAGGTCACACCCTAGCTTGTAGCTTGTGAAGTATCCAGAATTCACATTTGGGTTTTAAGGTCAGTACGACGTCAAAGATGCCTTAAATGTGGACAAAGTAGTAAATAACTCAGTTTGAGAGGCAGTACCAAGGATATTGACTTGATGACACTTTTTTGTCCAAATTTTTAAAGATCTTTTTACAGACAATTGTTCTCTTTCTGTTCTGAATGTGTTATTCTTAACCATGGGATGTTGTTGTTTTAGTTATTTGTGTGATATTTGATGCTGACCTTCAGAAGGCTATACAGCTCCAGGGACATTGTGATGGAGGCTTGTGCTTTGTTTCCCTATAATCCATCCATGCAAATTTTCAGAGTGCTTACAATAAAATAAAGAATAACAACTCGAGGCAATTGTCTCCTCTGTAACCCAGGGATACTAAGGTAAATTGTTATACTGTCCTACCTGAGACCAGCCAACTCAGCACAAACCAGAGACTGAACTTGTTAACCTATGTGTTTAACTACTCTGAGTGAACTTGTTCAACCATTAAACAAGCAGTTGGTGTGTAGAAGTTATGAGTAAAATGAAGTGATAATTTCACCACACGGGTCTTTTGGCAATCTTATAAAGTATTTTTAAAAAAGTAAATAACATAAATTTGTAAAGCATCAAAATTGTGTTAATACAATGTAGCGATGATTTATCATTATTATTCTGATATGAGCTTTATTCACCTTTTGGTGTTCGAGATTGTTTTGTAATCAAGTGGTTTTGCCTGTTTACTTGGCTGATTAATATCACATCATACAACTGGAACTAAAAAAGGCTCACTAAAAGTGAGATAAAAATTTTGGTCAGGTTTTTGTCTTAAACATTCCCAATGCAAATGTTATGATCTGGGAGGGTTTAACAGAAATTTATGAGAGCTGTGAATTAGAATTGCATCTTTATTGTTAATATGTATTCCTTCTGCTTTGGAACTACCAAAAACAAAAATAAACTATCCCAGTTGTTGCTTGGCAAAGTGAAAAGTGGAGGTTTAACAATTCAAATAGAGGCTGTTTGATCCTAAGACTGGCGGATCATATGAAATAGCGTGTCCATTTAGCTTTGCAGTAGGCAAGATGCTGATCATACCCAATCAGCAAGTGCTTGCAAAGCTAAAATACAGCATCCAACATCACATGTGATTCCGCAATTGGATAATGTCTCCTAAGTAATCCTGAGTGTGCTAAGAATTTTTTTTTTGTTCTCACATTTGTTCATGGGATATGGGCGTTGCTAGTCAGGAGAGCATTTATTCTCCATCCCTAATTGCACAAAGGGCAGTTGGGAGTCAACTGCATTCTATTTGGTTTGGCATCACATGTAAGCAATACCAGGTAAGCATGGCAGCTTCTTTCCCTAAAGGACATTAGTGAACCAGATGGGTTTTTCTGACAGTTGACCATGGTTTCATGATCATCAACAGATTGTTAATTGCAAGATATTTATTGAATTCAAATTCCAGAATCTGCAATGGAGGGATTCAAACCTGGTGCCCAGAACATGACCTGGGTCTCTGGATTGATAATCTAGTGAAAATATCAGTAAATTATGTTAACTAGCAAATTAATATTGTCAGTCAGGATTGTGGTGTGTCATACATGTATGAAGTGAAAACTGCATATGTCCATACCCAGGGCTGTGTTCTTTGCAGACAGAAAAACATGTACACGCGTTGCACCAGTTTCAACTTAACAAAGATGTAACAACATCTGGTTCATTGCTCAGGCCTTGTCCAATCAAAGTTAACCTACCTAGTTTAAATTTAAACAAAGCTATTAGCTGTCAGTCATCATCTAATTGGCGCATTCTCCAATGCGCCTACCTATTGGAGTCCACTTGCCAACTAGTCAGTACACTATAAAATGTTGCTTCCCAATTATATTAATATTCTTGCAAATGTCTGAATGAGGGCAAACCAAAAGGTGTTTATTTTAGCAATATTCAGGTTCTATATTACTGAACAACGATTTAAATCCAAATAATGAAAGATAACATTGTTCACCAGATTACTCAATAAGCCCTACTTGAAACCTTATAAAATCAGCAATGTTATGAAATATTTTCTATTATGTTTTGATATCAGGGAGTAACATTAACACTGTGGTCAACCTGTGGACGCTCACGAGGTGGTCTGTATGGAGAATGGCAAGGGGTGATTTGTACAGGAGAGAACAGCTCACAAGTTCAGGTATGTAATTGTAAGTAACAGCCTTTCAGTTCACTCTGATTCTTCATCTTCTCATGCAACCCATTCCCTTCTCGTAAAAGGAACAGAAAGTCAGAGAGTTGGAGACAGTAAGGATTGCAGATGCTGGAAGCTAGAGTCAGTAAATGTGGAGCTGGAAAAGCACACAGCCAGTCAGACAACATCCAAGGAGCAGGAAACTCAATGTTTTGGGCCGAAACCTTTTGTCAAGACTAGGGAGGGGATTCCAGAAATAAATCAAGAGAGGGATATGGGTCTGTGGGGGGAGGGTCGGTGAGATGGAGATCGGTGGATGCAGGTAGGGGGTTATTGTGGTTGGTCAGTGAGAACGGTGGAGTGGATAGATGAATCAGAAGATGGACAGGTTGGGGCAGGAGAGATTTTGAAGCTGGTGAAGTCAATATTCAGGCCATTGGGCTGTAAGCTCCCAAGGCGAAATAAGAGGTCTTGTTCCTCCAGTTTACGTTTGGCCTCACTCTGACAGTGGAGGAGGCCAAGGATGGACATGTTATCAGGGGAGTGGGAGGGGAAGTTAAAGTGGAAGTCAGAGGGTATGTTGACCTGTGATCCACCAAGTAGCAATTAGCTCAAATTAAGCACTGTTAGAAGTCAGAAATCTAGTTAGCATAAGTGTCAGCCTCTCAAAATTTTTCAAAAAACAAGGGTTGACTTTATGTGCCAAGTATAGAAGTGAACTTCTGGCTCGGCTGTGGGTGGCTATTACTTTTGTTGTTCACCTTGCAGGGCTTGCTGTGCGTGGGTGTATCATAACCTCCAACACAAGGTTGCAGTGCAATCCAGTTATAAGTTATCAGTCAGTAAAACATTTTTTTGTGGGGTAAAACTTGAGGCTGCCTGTGAATATAGCATGTTGATTTTTGAAAAGCCTGAGGTGGGGGATATGCACGTTGTGTATCCAAAAAACATGAAATTAAAATCAAAATCCAATGGATTCTGAAAATCTGAAACAAAAACAAAATGCTGGAGAAACTCTGCAGATCAGACCGCATCTGTGGAGAGAGACAGTTATGTTTTGAATCTGATATAACTCCTCTTCAGATCTGAAAAGGGCTGGAAAATGGTGAATTTCATGCTGTTCACAGAAGGGCAGGATGAGTATGTGGGACAGATTGTGAAGGTGCCCAGAGCAAAAGATGGTGCTTTTCAGTCTGAAGAAGAATCGTATTGGATTCCGGAAGTTAATTCTGTTTCTTGCTCCACAGATGCTGCCAGACCTGCTGAGTTTCTCCAGCACTTTCTGTTATAAAAGCATGATTTTTGGGGCCTAAAAGGGCTAATTTTATGTATTGTTGTTTTTTTCTTTAAAACTCTGTCAGCTACGGCACAAATGTACCATCTTGGTTAACAATGTGTTCAATCAGAAAACCTAAAGATTTTGGAACCAATAACTAAAAGGTTTGAATGAGAAACGAAAGTGCAAAATCAGAAGAATCCTTTTGTGTGATAGAATGAAGAAAATTGGATCCTCACAAAAGGACACCCTTTTAAATAAATGACCTTAGAGATTTTCATCAGACAATGAGTGTGTATTGGCTAGTTATAACTTGAGAAATATATGGAATATATATTTTTTAGAATATTTCAGCATCTGAGGACATCCTGCAGCCTATGAAGAAGTTTTTGAAGTGCTGTCACTATTGTAATACAGCAATCTCAACTAAACAGCAATGTGACCTCATTATGGCCTTGGTTCAAACATGGACAAAAAAGCTGAAATCCAGAGGTGAGGTCAGAATGACAGACCTTGACATCAAGGCTGCATTGTGGCATCAAGGAGCCCTAACGAAACGAGAATCAATGGGTATCAGGGGGTCAAACTCTCCATTGGTTGGAGTCATGCCTGGCACGTAGGAAGATGAATGTAGTTATTGGAGGTCAGTCATCTCAGGTCCAGGACATTTCTGCAGGAGTTCCTCAGGGTAGTGTCCTTAGCCCAACCATCTTCAGCTGCTTCATCAATGATCTTCCCTCCATCATAAGGTCAGAAGTGGGGATGTTCACCGATGATTGTGCAATGTTCAGCACCATTTGTAACTCCCCAGATACTGAAGCAGTCCATGTTCAAATGCAGCACAATCTGGACAATATCAAGGCTTGGGCTGACAAGTGACAAGTAACATTTGCGCTATACAAATGTAAGGCTATGACCATCACCAATAAGAGACAATCTAACCACCGTCCCTTGACATTCAATGCTGTTGCCATCACTTAATCCTCTACTATCAACATCCTGGGGTTACCATTAACCAGAAACTCAATTGAACTTGCCACATAAACACAGTGGCTACAAGATCAGGCCAGAGGCTGGGAATACTGCGGTGAGTAACACATCTCCTAATTCCTCATAGCTTGTTCATCATCTACAAGGCACAAGTCAGGAGTGTGATAGAATAGTCCCCACTCGCCTGGATGGGTGCAACTCCAACAACACTCAAGAAAGTTATCATCCAGGACAAAGCAGCCCACTTGATTGACACTACATCCTCTCCCTTCCCCACCGACACTCAGTAGCAACAGTGTGTACTATCTACAAGATGCACTGAAGAAATTCACCAAAGATCCTCAGACAGCCCCACCCAAACTCACAACCACTTCACCGAAAAGGCCAAGGTCAGCAGATACATCGGAACACCACCACCTTCAAGTTCCCCTCCTAGCCACTCACCATCCTGAGTTGAAAATATATCACTGTTCTTTTACAGTCGCTGGGTCAAAATCGGAACTCCCCACTGCGCCGCCGCCTTTCCCCCGCCCCCCTCAAGCGGCATTGTGGGTCAACCCACAGCAGGTGGACTGCAGCGGTTCAAGAAGGCAGCTCACCCACCATCTTCTCAAGGGCAATGAGGGACAGGCAATAAATGCTGGCCCAGCCAGCGACACCCACATCCCACAAATGAATTAAAAAAGACCAGATAATCTGCATGTTTTGTTAACATTGATCTGAGGAATAGTCATTGTCCAGGATACTGGAGTATTGTAACCCCCCATGCTGTTCTTTGAAGAACTACTCTGGGAACTTCTAGAATCATAGAGGTGTGCAGCACAAAAGGCCCTTTGGCCTACCAAGTCTGTGCTGGTTAAAAACATGCATCTAACTATTCTAATCCCATCTCCTAGCAGTTGGCTCATGGCCTTGTATCCTTTAGCATCACAAGTGAATGTCTAAATACTTCTTAAACATCAGGATGGTTTCTGCCTCTACCACCCTTACAGGCAGTGAATTCCAGATAGCCACTACCCTCTGGATGAAAACCCTTCCTCCTCACATCCGCTCTAAACTGCCTGCTCCTTACTGTAATTCTGTGCCCTGTTCGTTGTTTCCTCCACCAAGGGGAAAAGTTGCTTCCTGTCTACCTTGTTAATGCCCCTTGTCATTTTATACAACACCATCATTTTATACATCTCAGTCATGGCCCCCTCAGTTTCCTCTGCTTTAAGGAAAACAACCCCAGTCTATCCAATCTCTCTTCATAACTAAAATTCTCCAGGCCAGGCAATATCCTTGTAAATCTCCTCTGCACCCTACCTAATGCAATCATATCCCACCTTGTGGATTCCAGAACAACACACATTACTCTAGCTGTGACCTAACAATGCTTATAGTTTCAGTATAACCGCCCTGTTCTTAAACTCTATACCTCAGCTAATAAAGACAAGTATCCCATAAGCCACCTTAACCATTTTATCTACCTGTCCCCCTACCTTACAGGTCCGGTGGACGTGCACACCAAGGTCCCTCTGAAGCTTGGTGCTTATCAGGGGACTTCAATTCATTATATATTCCGTTTCCTTGTTTGTCCTGCACAAGTGAATCACCTCACACTTATCCAGGTCGAATCCCATTTGCCTCTGATTAGCCCATTTGACCAGCCCATCTGTATCCTCCTGTAATCTAAGGCTAACCTCCTCATTGTTTACTGCCCACTAATTTTCATATCGTTTGCGAATTTACTGATCAACCGTACTATGTTCAAGTCTATTTATATATACCACAAACAGCATGGGCCCAAACACTGATCCCTATGGCACCCCATTAGACACAGGCTTCCAGTCACGAAAACATCCCAGCAAAGTCCTGGAATTGAGATGGCTGACCTCCAATAACCACAAGCATTTTCCTTATTGCTAGGTATGGTTTCAACCAGTGGAAAGTTTTCCTGCCAGTTCTTACCGACCAATTTTGCTAGAGCACCTTGTTGCTTCACCTGGTCAAACGCTCCCTTAACAAAAGCAACTGTTCTCATTTTAATTCCAGAATTCAGCAATTTTTTATATTTAGTCAAAGGTTGTAATAAGATTTGGAGCAAAGCTCTGACAGAACCCAAAGTGAACAAGAACCACCGACAACATTGTTGGTGGTACCTTCCATCACTGATGAATGAAAGGTGCTAATTGGCTTGATTGTATTTTTCCTGCTTTGTGTGTCCAGGATATACCAGGACAACTTCCCACATCTTTGGGTGAATGTCCATGTTGTAGCTGTATTGGAATAGCTCTACGTCCGCTTTAGAATGTAGACAGGGCCTTGGTTTAATATCTGATTCAAAAGGCTGTGCATCCAGTAGTGCACCACTCCCTCAGTACTGCACTGGAGCAACAGCCTAGACCTTTGGGTTAATACCTTTTGAAGTTTGAATGAATTTCATTTTCTTTTACAGAAATATCTGCAGCAGTTGTGGAACACCATCCTATTAGTGGGTTTAATCTTGTGTACTGGAGTCATTGTGCAGGCTCAGTGGCAATATAGACACTATGAACCAAGTACTGAAGAGATGGAGGTTTGTATGTATGTCTGTCTAAGCAGAATAGATTATAATGGCTAAGAAAACTTAAAAATGATTTGTGTGGCTAATTTTATTACATTTTGTTTTAGAGAGCTAGAAAAAAGCTCTTTGGGCTGTTGCATCCACAATGGTCAAAAACAACCATCTTACATTTCTAATCTCATTTTCCAGCATTTGATCCATAGCCTTGTATGCCTTGGCACCAAAAGTGCACATCTAAAAACTTGATAAAAGTTATGAGGGTTTCTGCCTCTATCAGCCTTACAGGCAAGTGAGTTCCGGATTCTCACCATCCTTTGCGTGGAAAAGTTTTTCCTCTCATCCCCTCTAAACCTTGTGCCATTTACCTTAAGTCTATGGCCCCTGGTAATTGGTCCCCCATATCGAGAGCTATGCTCTCATAATTTTATACATTTTCGTCTTACTCCCCCACCAATCTTAATTAGTTTTCATGTCTTTGCTGAGTCACAGGAAATGAAACTTTATGTCAAAACTTCAACAGTTGAGAGCGTAAACTATTTAATACTTTCTAATTTTAACTTTACTGGAAGAATGTTATTGAAATCTGATATATAAACTAATTAAACGACTGAACAGTATTTTAAGTCATTAACATTGATCCCTTCATTCTTTTTTTTTGCTTTTAGATGAGTTTGAAGCAACAAATCCTGAAGCAATTATCAGCACTGAAGACTCGAAAGTATTATCCAAATAAAAGATGGAAAATGCAGTTGCAAGAACTTGAGAGCTGTGCTGTGTGTTTGGAAGAGTTCCATAAAAATCAGGTGTCATTTCACTTTGTGATTTGAACAAAGAAGCAAGGGAGAAAGTGATACTAGTAACTGATATTTATTTGACTCCTCTTTTGTTTTTGCTTGAATCACTTTTTTACTGCAAGATGTGTTCATGGGCTTTTTAAACCACAGTGACCTCAAATACAAATTAATAAAAAGCTTCAGCTGTGGTTTGGTGGCAGTGCTCTCATTTGCGAGTCAGTTGTAGTTTAAGCACCAGTCTAAAAATTTAAGCGCATAATTTATGTTCATACTTCTGTGCAGTTCTGATGGGATGAAACTTTAAATAATTATAAAGTCCATTTGTTTTTTGAAATTAAAAGTCCCTGTGACACTCTTTGAGGCATTTTCTGTTTGTATTTTATATTCAGCTTTTCCTATATACTTCCTTAGCCTCTATAATTTGGCTGCTGTGTACAGTAAGTAGATGAGCTATTGTAGGAGCTAATGTCACTTATTAAGTCATTATGCCAGACTGCATGTCCTTAAGGGTTATTTAATAGCATGCAGCCAAATCTCAGTTCAATTCTAACATAGTTCACCATTTCACCAGCATCAAAATTAAGTGGTATTTGTAAGGTTTTCTTTAGTAAAAAGAAGAGCAATTTTATTTCTTGGGGACGCTGATGAAATAATAAAGATGCAACATCAAACGTGTAGACAGACTAGTAATAAGTTTGAGCAAGCTGATGGTGTCTAAAAAAGAGAATATTCAGTTGAAAAGTCTTTAAACTTCTTGAGGTGTTAGGTTTTAACCTGTGGCCATAGTTGTTTAATTGATGTTTGTATCTTCAGCAGTAACAAATATTGAGGATCTCTTTTGAGTTCTCAGAGAATGGATGTTTCTACAGTTTGCTCTATCCTATTATAAAGACATTGTTCTTTCAGACACTGAGAGAAGAACAAGTCAGAGACTTCAAGTTCTGCTTAAATAAAGTTATTTTCATTTATATCTTTCCCAAAGCAGTTGCTTGAAATACTGTGTATGTTCCCATCTCTGCCTTCATTGTTTTTCCTAGCTGAGTAATTTGCAGCCAGGTCTTCCATTCCATTATAAGAATCTTATCAATGGACTTGCCTCAATAGAGGTGTAGGGTTGAGTTTCAATAACTTTTGATGACTAGGTCAGTATCAGATCAGACTAAATCTTGTTTATTGGTGGCTTCATGAAGTGGTCATCCTTTGGTCAGCTGATAGCAGCAATTTCAAATCAGTGTTTTCTTTCTTTCTCAAAAACTGTTTGAGCCGATGAAGCTCCGAGGTATTAAAAATTAGATGATGTAAGTTGAAAATTGATTTATTTCACCACTATCATAACAAGATGAAATTATAATACCTGGAACATTGGTTCGAGTTATTTTGGTTAATGAAGAAAATGCTTTGAAGATAGTTTAAGATTATAATGTGACTTTTATTTGTAGTGTCTACGAGTGCTACCATGTCTACACGAGTTTCACAGGGATTGTGTTGATCCCTGGCTCCTACTTCAACAGACGTGCCCCCTGTGTAAACGGCATGTCCTAGGTAAGAGTTATAAAGTTAATATTGTACATAAAGAGGACTTTTGGCCAATCAAGTCTGTGCTGGCTATCTAGAGCTATACAATCAGCCCCATTTCTCCACTCAATTACTCATGGCCTTGCATTCCTATATGCAGAAAAATAGAACCATTAGTAAAATGACTTTAACAATGGACATTTAAAGAGAATGTGTAAAATTGATGTATTGAAACCCACTACAAGAGCAATGTTGTAATGTTTTAATACAATTTTGAGGACAATTTCTGATATGTTCAGTTAACCTTGACATTCTTGGGATAATTCTTTACTGGTGACCATGCCCTGTTGGTGTGCAGGTTAAGTGATGCACAGCAGGTTTGCTCTGAAGTCTTCATAGTCACTTAATTGGTAGAACACAGCAAGAATGGCTGTACATTAAATAGGTTCAGATCACTATTCAGAAAAGAGCAGGATATAAATCTGTATGTTAAAGGGAAAAAGAACTAAATTAACACGTGTTTATTGTCTTGTATCCGTTTTTCTTTTTAAAAAAAAAAGGTGATCCATGTGAGAACAGCTGAAGTTATTCTTTCTCATGAACAGAAAACGGGAGACTTCTGCAGCTTGATTTTATGTACACCTTGAGACTTTTTATATTGCACTTTATTCGTTACATTCTGAACGACCAGTTCAATTTGTGGTAATCAAGTGAACATTGATTTTAACAACCCTGATGAGAGAAATCCTGTTATTGTGTTGGAATGTTTGATCTATTGACTCCCACAAATAAGTTGTGAAGCATACTACATATAGATGCAACATTCATTTGTTTCTGGAATACTCATGTATAATGAGATAATTAGATGGACTATTCAAGTTGATGATTAAACCATTGAAGGTTAACCATATTCTTTATGTAGATGCTGAAGTAACAGTGCTTTACCCCCTTTTATTTATTGATTATATTTATTCTCCTGAAATGTTACATATATCTATTGTGAAAATGCTGATAGTTATTTAGTCTTCATTTACACTTCCAACATATAAGTCAGAGGAGAGGTGCAAAGTCTTTTGTTCTTCACAGTTGAACTCCACTTGGGTGTTAAAACCTTTTCAAGGTTTTGGCAACTTATGCTGTGCTTTGAGCCAGTTCATGGTTTAGCTGTTGTGTATTCCAAACAGTTGAGTCTAAATTAACCAATTTCTTATCTCTAAGTGTATATTGCCATTTGGATTCTTATGAAAATAGCCACAGATTATGGAAAAACTTATAAATCTTAGCAACCTTGGAAACATTTACCACCTAATCAGAAAAACCATTTTATCTCTGATCTTCCTCACTCACACTTGTATGGCACTTATAAGCATCTGATAATGTTCCATCAATGAGTTTCTACATTACTCTTAGGAGAGGTGGCTGCATCACTGTTGGCAAACACAAGCAATAGTCTCACTGTAGTTTTTTCAGCAATTAATGATGTGATTTTTGAGGTTTTGAAGCAATCTGAATTTCCTTAAATGTTTCCCAGGAAGGTTTAAAATTTCATTATTTAGTGCATATGCTTTGTCTAGAAGAAGTTAATGATCCAATTATCAATGTCTGCATTTTGCATTATAAAATGTCCTTCCATTGTGAAGAGAGGCTTTGAACAAGGTGACTATAATAACAAAACATTAGAACCTTTTTTTCTTATTCCATGAAAAATACTTGAATTTAGAAATCGCCCAATGCCTTGGAGTGCTATCTCCCAGTGTGTTGCAAATTGTTGTTCCTGCCTTTCATTTCCTTAATTCTATCAGTACGCATCTTTCGACTCTCCATGTTTTCAATATTTTGAACAGCTAATGTATATCAGACCACTAAGAGTACTGTGCATTTTGGGTAGCTCTAAACAAACAGTCTTGCACAGAAGACCAGAGAAAATTATCTAGAATAATTCATAAACTTCACACTCTAGAGTAGAGTGATTTAAATTGTTTACATGATTTTTAATGAAACAGAGAGCCTTGAAAGATTATGGTTCAAGTATTTAAAATGATTTTGCTATCCACAAAAGAGCAGTAAAAGTCTAACAAAAGCATTAATCATTTGAAGTTCTCTTGAAAATTCTATAAAATTAAAAGGATAAGGATAAATGCAAATGATTAGTGCTAACACTTAAGGTGAAGCTAGTTACTCTCATGCTATTTGATTATCCTTTTCTTGAAAACATTTTATTTCTTCCTTTTAAAAAAAACTGATCCTGTTTACTTTTAGATTAAGTCATAATGTCTACAGTCAACAGAATTTGACTTTCTAACTTTCCGCGTGTAAGTAAATTTAGTTGCTGGGATAGTCTGGGGTCTTAGCCTGTGGTTCTATTATGCAAATCAGCAGTCTCAACATTTCATGATTTATCCTTTTAAAGCATTTCATACTTTAATAAACCTTTTGGATTTTCATTGAGCTTTGTTTTAATTAAAAATCTATTTTTTTTTACCTTTCTTCATAGCTGTTTTATTTGTTTCTGGTATTGTTCTAGAGTATTTGCTGCAGCCTTTTCACGTTGCTGATATTCCTTCAATAAGCGATGCCAAAGCTACATGTTATTCCCAAGTTTAATCCAAAATTAGGTTTTTCTCCTTGCATTTACATTCATTGGCATTATATATAAAAACTAGCAGTTGCAGTTCCACTTTTAATAACCTATGTATGTGCATCTATACCCTTGATGATTGTATAAACCTGTATAAGGTCACCGCTCCTATGCTCCAGTGAGAAAAATCCAAGCCCATCCAACCTCTCCTTATGACTCAAACCCTCCATCCTTGGCAACATCCTGGTAAATCTCTTCTGAACCCTCTCAATATAGTCAATCTGAAAATGACCAGGTATTCAATGTACGTGGAAATACTAGTATTTTCTATATGGATTAGTGACTAAACCTTCTGGTGGATCAGTGATACACAACCTATTTTTGAGTGGTTGCCTGGAATGTATTGTATTAAATAATTAAGAATAAGTTCATTTCCCTGAAAAATAAAGCCCAGTTAATTAGGTCCAGAGAACAGAGTGCAACATTGGTTCTAGGCTTCTAGGTTTGTCAGCTAGGTTCTTCCTTCCTGTTGGGGCACGAGCATGAAAAATTATCAGGAGTCAAGTAGGAGTAATACTCGACCTTATTTTCAGACTACCCCTCCAGTCATCATTAATGAATAAGGCTGACTGGATTATCAGTAATAGTGCCTAGTTTGGTTCATTATTTAGTCTTTTCTGGTCTTACTGAGCTTGTTATTATGGACCTAACTCAGCCTCAAAGATATCTCAATTATCCCTTCTGACATCCAGGTAAAATAACTAGTCACTAGATAACTAAGAAAATGCATTATGTATTAGTGTATTATATATTTATTTATTAGAATCTCTTCCAATATAAATGCCACAACTTGAATTTTTAAATGGTTATTTTATTCTTTATTCTGGTTAACCACAACATTGTATATAATTTAATTTATTTTGCAATACATTATGATTAATTATGTTTCTTATGTAAACTTTAGACAAGGGCTTTAAGTGAATCAAGAAATAGACACCATTTTCCTTGCTACCATTTCCTTCAATAGTGAGTTTATAAAATGTGACTGGCATAATAGAGTTATTTTGTAAATTTAACTATTGAAGAAAATGTTTTTGAAATATAAAACTTCATTTTGAAAAGTACAAATGCCACGTTATAACTTTGGAGAGGGGGGAAAATATGCTGGAACAAAGAGGGATTTTTGTGGTTAACTATTGCAAAATCTTTCTGAAACATAAGTTAATGTAGTTGAATGGAATTCATAGTGTTTAATTGTGATATTTTATTTGTAGCACATATTTCAGTAGTCATAAATAAAAGCCTGTGCCTGATTAAAAAGTGGCTGTCTTCAATGTATTATGTACAGGGTCATTTTGTTTTCAACAATATATGCAGCAGTTAATAATCCTGTAAACGCCTTGATAAAACATTAATAATTTCACACAGTTACTCTGTCACTACAAATAGTAAACAGGAAATCTTGCCCGTACATTATCGACAACTTCCATTGAACTTCATCAAAAGAAGCTGCATGACATTATTTTTTCCACATTTTTCTTCTCCATCACTGATTTTAGATTTTGTTTTTTTTCTGGTTACTACTGAACTGGTTAAAATTCTCTGACTGATAGGTATAAAATCCAAAGTAATTTTCAGAGTGAAATCCTATATTTTTCATCTCTCTTCTGCATGCTGTCTGACTCAAATCACAGACCTTGATGGCCACCATACCTGTAGAACAACGTTAAGGCTGGATTTTGTCATGTGATTCAATCTTGTATTTTCCTACATATTTTCATGCTAAAAGCAATGTTGTTTTACAGTGATATGATCCAGATCTTCCTGCGTAGTATAATAAGCACACTAATGTCTTATTAATTAATGGAAGACAAATGATTAAATCTGTCACACAAGTTAAATCTCTCTCTTTTGTATATTTATACACTGTATAATTCTTGTAGCAGAGACATTTATATATCTCTGCTGATTTCCATTGCTTTAAACAACTGCCAATTTTGTGTAGATAGGTTAAGCGGCCGTGCTTCTTCCTCTGTCTCAGTAAGAACATCGATAATGAAAATATATGCAGAAAGCTTATGTTACTTGTACTCATCAGTTTTTAGTGACTTATCTATCTTATGCCTCTTGTCATGTGAATGGAAGTAGTCTTGGCAGAGGAGCAGGCTAATTTGGGATGTTGGCAGTCAAAGGTTAGGCTGATGTGGGATACTTAAGTACTGAAGCTAATGAAGTGAGTATCATCTCATCCAAGACACCAAAGCTAGAGAGAGTTTGGGATGTGGAGATTGTAGGGTTGTGGGGGAGGTTGTGTATAAAAGTAATGAGCAGATAAAGACCGGCTAGTTCAAACCTTCCACACACAAATGGAATGAAAGCTAGCATAGATCAGCAATGTCAGTAGTCAGGGGTGAGCTGTTGGTACAAGTTGATACAGATTTAGAATTGACTGCTGATTATGGAAATGGCAGCCAGTAGGAGAACATTGGAATGGCTGAAGGAGTCTGAGCAGCAGATGGGAGTGGAAACGGGTAATTATTGTGGAGATTTGCAGTCTTTGAGATGTAGAGTACATGAGACTGAAATCTCGCATCTGGAATGAATGGGATTCTGATGTTACAAACATTCTTGTGTTCACTGTTAGTTACTTGGGTATTGTCTTTGTTTCACTTTTCTAAACAACGTACTATTGCTCATCTGTTCAACAACTCCACAGGCAAATGCTGGAGATGTATTTGTTAGCCAGTGAAGGAGGATTTTCTTTTTTTAAACATTCTGCTGTTCCATTCCTGAAGTCTAGAAAGTGGCTACAGACGTGTGAACCATTTTGAGAGCTCTAGTCAATGATGCGAGTATAGAAATAGTCAGTATTTGCCTTTTCCTAATACCGGTTCAAAAATGTCTTTTCAACAAAGGTGAGGGTGGACAATTTTTTTAAAAAACTGGATGCATTTAAAATGAGCACATCAGGGAGAAAGGAAGAAATAATAGTGACGGAGTTACATGACATGCATGGTGGGGGGGGATGGGGAGGAAAGAGGGGGCTGCTAGGGAGCACAAATACTAGCATGAACCTCTTGGTTCAAATGACTTATTTCTGTGTTGGAATCACTTTCCATATTTTGTAGCAACATTAATTCTTTCAGTGCATTTTGTACATTCTTTTGCTGACAGATCTTGGCTACAGTGAATGAACTAGACAGAACCTTAGTATCTGTAATTTTGCCAATAGCGTAACAGTCATGTGTGGCATATTTAATAGCAATGCATGTAACTTATTAAGCATTGTCTCTGGAAACACGCTATCCATCATTACTTCTGAAGCTTGGATTTAAAATTTCTGCAATGTTCTCCCAGAGTTAGGGCAGAATAACCATGTGGAAATGTTATTTTTTTGTTTTGGATTCCAATGAATATGTGTCTCAGCATAACTGATATCTTAAAAAAGATGTGTACTTCACTCACACATGTTACAACACACCTCTGGGCCAAGTCAAACTTGAACCCACACATTGTTGTCCACAGGTAAGGAGACTGACTGAACCACAAGAGTCTGTTTATTCTCAAGATATTGGTTCAATGACACGTCATTCAATATCATTACACATTAAATAGATAATTATTCCAGACATGACTAGTTAACAATGCAACTCTGCCCTTTATTTTAATTGACAAACACAAACCCACATTTGCCATTTCCCACTGATTAACAAAGATTAAACATTGAGTCATATTGTATTTAAGTACATACTTATAAATTGGAACAAGATCAGTATAATTGAAAATCATATCGTTGAACATTCAATTTGATTACAGATCACAGATTCTTGTTAATTGGGTTCTACAGAAATGTTTGATTAAAGTGATACATTTAAAGAAATATTTTCCCTGTACCAGAACTATAGAATCTTAATTGATAAATTTGCAAGATGGTTACAGGCTGGTATTTGGAATTGTTAATTTACTTGAATATACTGTGATATTTTTAAACCGTATACTAGTAAAAATGTATCTTTTCAGTAAGAGCCTTGTGTTTCTAATACATGATGCTGATGCTGGCCAGCCCTGGATGACATTAACAGAAGTTGCGACTCTAGGTAACTGATTCCTATTGCAAGCAAAACTGCTCAATTTAGCTTCAATGACTAACTTCTAAGATATCAGTCAATTTTAGTATAACTTATTATGAGTACTTTTATAGACCAGTTGACAAATATTATCTTATTGTATTGCCACATCCATGGAATTAGTTAAAATTCCTAAGCTACTTAGTGTCGTACTGAACACCACACGATAATTTGATGTTGACTGCAAGTTTCTGTGCTGTGAAGATACCTCCTGTTGACAAACATTTCAAATATGTGGTTTCTCATGCAATCTTTTTGGTTTGTTACTGCACTAAAAGTAGAATAGATTACAATATATGGAAGAATCATCTCCTGTTTTTATTTTTTTGGTGAGGTTGTCATATTTTTCAGTTGAAACTGAGGCATCAGCAACTGTGTTAAGGGTAATTTCTCCTCCATCCCACTTCAATTTCAGTTTTATTGGAAAGCGATTCCTTGTGTCCTTAACTTTTGACAGAGGATGTAACAATTAGAAAGTTGTTGAGTTTGTTAAAATAAAATGTGATATTACAGTGCTTAACAGACCATACCTTCCACAATATAGAACCAAGTAACCTAATCTTAATGCAATTTTCTATAGTTCTTCCTTGCACTGTCAGATATAGCTTTCATACCGGGTAAGGCACCAGCCTTTTTCAGTCTTGCATAAACACCAATGGCAGATGTTTCTCGTGAGTGAAAGACATTTGTTACAGGTTCTTTTATTCGCTCTGTATAGGGAGTTGTCTCCTTTGGCTCACTCCATGGCCTCTGGTTAGACTTGAGTCTCATATTTTCATTCAAGTTTCTTGTAGCTTTAGTCATCCCTCTGCAAAGTTGACATACAAAAAATTTAGTTTGGCTATTTCTGGAATATTGTAGAAGATTATTCAATTAAGGAAACAGATCCAAATTTACATTTTAAAATTCCATGTTTCAGAACTAACAATCACAATGCTGAAAAAGGAACAAAAAGCTGGAAAAACTCAGTAAATGATGCTGCATCGTTGGGAGAAATAGCGACTGTTTCAGATCCATGACCTTTCATCAGAACTCGACATGAAACATTAATTTTATTTCTCTCCATTAATGCTGTCTGACCAGCTAATTTTTCAGCATTTTTTTGCTATTCTTATTTCTAAAACATTGACCAGAAATTCAGCTGAACTAGCACAGAAGTACTGTAGCCACAAGAACAACTCGGAGGCTACAGATCTTGCAGCGAGTAAATGACCATTTGACTCCCCAAAGCCTGTCCATGAAGACACGAGACAGGATTGTGATGGACCATACTCCACTTGCCTGGATGAAAGCAGCTCCAACAACACTCGAGGCTTGACACCATCCAGGACAAAACAGTCTGTTGATCAGCACCAAATCCACAAATATTCATTGCCTCTGCCACCAACATTCAGGAGCTGTGTGCCATCTAGTCAAGGCACTGCAGAAGTACAAGGGCAGCAGATACATGGGAACACCACCACCTGCAAGTTTTCGCTCCACTCGCCGCATCCTGAGATTCATACTGAGACGCTAACAAAATAAACATTTTTCCTTCCTGTCAGGCATTTAGGATTGCAAGCTGCAACAACTCAGAGGCACCCAGGCCCCTCTGAAGCCTTCCTCCCGGCCCCATCGATCTGTCTGCATCCCTGTTCATAACCCCATATCATGTTGGGTATTTACTATCCCTTTTGAATTTCTGTTCTCTGATGCTGAATGTTCTGTACTCAGCAAAGGTCTTTGTTTTATTCCTCTGCACCCCTGCCTCAATGTATTTCAGGCCCAACATGATGTTGAACTCTTCTTTTGTCGCCTTCACCTCCACGCGTATTTCTTCGGACAAGAGTCCTCTCCTCGTTCCATAGACCCCTTCACCTGCCTGCAGTGCTGTCACTCCAGCCTTTTACCCTGACTTTGTAATCAAGCCTGCTGATAAGAGTGATGCCATTGTTGTCTGCCTTACTAACCTCTATGTTGCAGAGGCTAAGCGCCAGCTCTCAGGCGCCACCTCTTATCTCCTCTTGGCCCATGACCCCATCGTCAAACATTAGACAATTGTGTCCACAGTGGTAACTAATCTCATTTTATCTGGGATCTCCCCAACCCTCGGCCTCCAAGTTCATAGTCCCCTAACCCCATACAGCCTGCTTCTACTTTTTTCTAAAAATCCACAAGCAAGACTGCCAGGGCAGACCAATTTTCTCAACTGTTCCTGCCACATAGAAATTCTTTTCCTATCTTGACATTTTTTTCTCCCCTTGTCCTGTCCTTTCCCACTTACATCTACAATTTTTCTGATGCTTTGTCAGTTGCAGAATTTGCAGTTGTCAGGCACCAGCTGCCTCCTCCTCACCGTGGGCGTGCAATCCCTTTACGTGTCTATACCAAATCAGGATGGTCTTTGGGCTTTCCGGTTCTTCCTACAACAAAGGCCTGAACCATTCCATTCCCTACTGGCTGGCCAAGCTTGACCTCACTTTGAACAATTTCTCGTTTAAGTCCCCCCTCTTTGTTCAAATCAAAGTTGAGGCTACGCCTACCTCTTTGTGGGGTACATGGAACATTTCTTATTCCAATCCCACTCGGGTGCCTCTCCACAACTCTTTCTCTACTACATCAATGATGTCATTCATCTTGCTTTCCTCTCTCATCCAGAATTGGAAAAATTTATCAATTTCACTTCCACTTTCCACTCTACTCTCATCTTCACCTGGTCCATCTCTGACTCATTCTCCCAGTTTATCTGACTCTGTCACATTGGTTCTGATGATGCTATCTTCAGCAAGGTGGGAGGGGTGGGAGGTCACAGAAATGTCCACCTTATCCCAGGACTTCCTGCTACTGTGGTTGACAGGGCCCCCAGTCATGTCTCACCCAATTCCCGCAGTTCTGCCCTAACTCCTCCTTCTCTTACCTCCCATAACACTAATAAGGTTCCACTGGTCCTCACTTTCCACCCAATCAGCATCAGCAGCCAAAAGATCATAAGCCACCATTTCTGCCACCTCCAGCCGAATGCCATCACCAGATACGTATTCTCCTCCATTCCCTCTGGAACACTCTGGTCCACTCCACCTCCACTGCCAGCACTTTCCCACACTCCTGCAACATCTTCCCATGCAATCTGCCCATTTATTTCCTCCCTATCCAAAGTCCCAGGCACACCTTGCAGGTGAAGCAGCAATTTACCTGCACTTTGCTCAATCTAGTCTACTGTACTCACTGCTCACCATGTTGTTTCCTCTACACTGGGAAGATAAAATGCAGACTGGGCGATCGCACTGCAGAACACCAATGTTCTGCCTGCAAAATTACCGTGAACTTCCAGTTGCCTACCGCTTCAACACAGCACCGTGTTTCCTGGCTAACGTTTCTGTCTCAGGCCTGTTGCAGTGCTCCAGCAAAAGTCAGTGCAAGCTAGAAAAACAGCATCATGTTTTCTGCTTGGGGACCCTGCAACCTTCAGGACTGTATCATGTTCAATACTATTAGGGCCCGAACCCCTCCTTCAACGTCCTTTACCCACATCCACATCCCAGGCCCTGTCACCTCATGGGCGACTTTCGGCACAGCCAATCCATTTTCACCTACTTATGATCCCCATTATCAGCTTTTCTGTCTCCCTGGCATACTAATATCGCTTCCTTTGTCTGCCAAACTGTCTCTCTCCTTCTGGGCTCCATGTGCAGCTATCGCTTACTCCTTTAATAGCCCCCAAAATTGTTAACACAAATACACTGAACTGAGCCAGTGTAAAATTTCACTACTGATTTGCATGACCAGACGATGCAGCTTTGTTTTTTGTTGTGTTAAAGGTCAGCTAAGCAAAGAATTTTATGATTGATTGTTAAGGTATGGTTATTCTACTTTTCTAGTTTTCATATACAAATATGCATATCTTATGTTTTTAAAACTCTGACTAAAGGTTATTTAAATAACATTGAGAGTCAAATCTCAGACCAAATTGATACACATTAATCTGTTTTCTTTCCCTACCGCTACTGCCCTCCCCCAAAAACTTGGTAGTTTGGACATGAGTCTCTTACGTTGTATCATGCTCATTCCTTCCTGCACTACCATCAGGTTTTGATCCATCTTCTGACAGCCCTGAGGATGACCAAAGCTTTGTCTGAGGGATAATCTAAAACGGAGAAAAGATGTGTGAAATCACAGCAAAAACCTATACGCTGTCTAACTTTTGTGGAGCATGTCATGTCACGTCACATGAATTACAGATGTTATCGGTATTATGCTAGTCTTTTTTAATTCATCCTCAGGATGAGGGCATCGCTGGCTAGAACAGCATTTATTGCCCATCCCTAATTGCCCAGAGGGCAGTTAAGAGTCAACCACATTGCTGTGGGTCTGGAGTTGCATATAGTCCAGACCAGGTAAAGATGGCAGTTTCCTTCCCTAAAGGGCATTAATGAACCAGATGGGTTTTTCCAACAATTGGCAATGGATTTGTTAGACTCTTAATTCCAGATTTTTATTGAATTCAAATTCCACCATCTGCCATGGCAGGATTCGAACCTGCGTCCCCAGAACATTAGTTGGGTTTCTGGATTAACAATCCAGCGATAATTCCACTAGGCTATTGCCTCTCCATTATTCATTCTACTTTTCTAGTTTTCATATACAAATATGCATATTTTACATTCTTAAAATTCTAGCTAAAGGTTAATTAAGAAATGTTGAGAGTCAAGCCCCAGTTCAAATTGATACAGATAAATCTGCCTTCTTCCCCTACCACTACTGCCCTCCCCCTCACATGTTTGGACATGTCATTATTTCCACTTGTAATAAAGATTGCCAGTGAACAGCACCACCTCAAAACAGGAGTCTTTCCTAAAGTTAAGCTATCTGATTGTTTGAACACAAACAATACTTAATGTCATTGATCTTTACAAAGAAAGGGAGAAAAGGCTTTAAGGATCGATCCATTTCATTTTGACTAAATCTCACCTTTAAAGCTCCTTGTTGGGTAGTTTCCTGCAACTTTGTGAGGGTGCTTCTCAATCGAGAATTCTCCTCTTCCAGAATACTGATGCGCAAGCTGTTTGCTTGTAACTGTTTTTCCATGTCCTGTACAATATCACCTGTACCTATGAGAAGCAAAACACTTCACACACTCTAAAGGCCAAGTGAAAGTTACAGCAAAGATAACTTGCAAGATGAGTCTGTGCATTTCCTTTTCTTCTGCTCTCCATTATTTACCCTTTTGTTCTTTTGAAGACACAAGCTCCCTCATAGGTAGCAGTCACTTTCCAGTATCTTGTCCAATTGTATTCTTTAATATATGAGGTTTGACCCTGTGCGACAACAGAATGTCCAAATGTGCTGGACGTAATACTGCTGAGCTTGATTATTTAGTAAACCACATCTACAGTATGTACTTTCAGTAAAGTAGGCCATATGATGAACAGGTGTGTGAACCTTGGCCATGACACATTTAGTTTGTCGCATCCCACCTACTCCAATCAGTTAACTTAGCAGATCAGGGTTTGATTTCATAACCTGTATGGGTCAGAGAATGAGATGAGGGGAAAATGCATAATTTAATTCAAAAATGTCCATCCAATTTAACTTTGTTCTTAAGCCTGACGAACATGGCCCTGGCATTGCAGTGTCCCTTGCTGGATTATCTCGGAGGTAATAATAAACTTTCCTCTTGAACTATCACAATCCATATGGTGAAAACGTTCAGCAAATTGCTGTTAAATATGGAATACCAAGAGCTTTGCCCAGTGACAATAAGGATTGGCTATACTTGTGTCCAAATCTGGATGATACCTGACTTGAAGGTGATTGTGTTCCCATGTGTATGCTGCCTTCCTCTTTTAGCTTGTAGTTGTGTGATGTTACTTTCACAATCCGAATAGCTTATGTCCTAATTGCTTATCAGCCACCTGTGTTCAACCATAAACTGGCAAAAAATGTTTCCCATGTAAATCAAAAAGAATGATCTAAACTGTGCAATATGAATATTCTTCTCACATTTCTGCAGATGCTTGTTTTTGTGCTGTTAATTCAAATGGAATAATTTAGATTAATTCAAAATGTCAAAGAAATAGAAATTTCATACTTTCACACAGTATTTCAGATGGCATATTTAAGTCAGGAAAAGCAACCAGAAGCCTACGCTGTTCCTTATATTCTTGAACTTGGCTCTCTAGTTGAGACAGATTTTGTTTTAGTTCAGTCATGGAATTTTCCAGATCATGTTTTTCTTGCTGTAGCTGTTCTGTCAGTTGCTGTAATAATAAAGGAAAAGAGAAAAACAAAATTGGCTTTAATATGTTCCTGCTTAAATACAATTCAAAAATTACAAAGGGTGGACAAATACATTTTAGCCGAAAGGTTATCATGTGGAAATTGCAGTTAAATCAGATCAGTAATCTTATTGAATGGCGGATTTTCACGGACCAAGTGGTCTCCTCCAAATTCGTATGTTCATATTCTCTCTAGCAGCAATACATTACTGAAATTATGATGTGGAGGTGCCGGTGTTGGACTGGGGTGGACAAAGTCAGACGTCACATGACACCTGCACTTGCTGCAAGGCAACAAAATTATTAACAGTCATTCTCTGGTTAATTTCTTAGCACAATACCTTGTCTAATCAGTGTCAACATGTCTTGTTCAAAACTTAAACAAATCTTGACAGTTAATTGTCAGCCATCACTAACCATTGCATCCTCCAAGGCAATGCCAATACCAATCAGAGTCTACTTGCCATTTAATCAGCACCGTCATTCAGTATAATGTCTCCAAAGTCAGTATTTGGAATTACCTGAAGGACTTTCAACAGTGTTAAAGATTTACTCAAGCTAAGGGCACTTACCAGTTGTTCTCGGAGTTGCTGCTGTAGGTTATTTTTCTCCATGTTGACTGTCTTCAATTGCTCTTCCAGCCTGCCTGTCCCAGCCTCAGACTCAGCTAATCTAGTGTTTAGCTCTTCACGTTCTTCATCCAGATGATCGACACGTTGTAGCAGAGCTTTAATCTTAGCTTTCAGAGACTTGATTAATTAATAAAAATACAATTGAAGAACTGACTTTTGGTAAGATCTGAAGCATAGCTTCTTTCCAGCCAGCAATGCGTTGTCACGATTACCATGTGGACATATTCAGGCCATACCATTGTTTGAAATAGGATATTTCAAAATTTATTATAATTTTCTGCTTTCACAAGGAAACTATATTCTTATATCGCAACAGTACTTGCACTTCAAATAATTTGATGGTTATAAAGTAATTTGAGATGTCCTCTAGTTGTGAAAAGAAGCTACAACATTCCAATAATAACTCCCATTCCCTGGAAAACCAAGATGAAGTCATCAAAATGGATTGTGTATATATGGACATAGTGGAAGGTCACAGACTTCAATAATTAAATTATAAGGAAAGATTACAGAAACTAGGGTTCCATTCCCTAGAATTAGAAGCTAAAGTACTGGGTGGATATTTGAGAGTTTCAAGATATTAAAGGGGAGCAGCCAGGGTGGATAAAAAGATACCTTTGCTGCTAGGGAGTCTAGGATCAGGTAGCATAAATGTATAAAATTGAGCAAGACCTTTAAGGAATGAAGTTAGAAAACACATGTACGTACAAATTATGGCAGAAGTTTGGAATACTCTTCAGTAAATAGCATAGAAACATTTAAAGATGTAGAATATAGCAGGAGTAGGCCATTTAACCCCTCAAGCCTGCTCTGCCAATCATTATAAGCATAGCTGAAAATCGATCTTAACATCCTAATCCTACCCTCTTTCCCCATCTCCCTTGATCCTTTTAGCCTCAAGAGCTATATCTACCTCCTTCTTGAAAACACAATGTTTTAGCCTCAATTACTTTCTATGATAGTGAATTCTATAGGCTGCCATTCTCCGGGTGAAGAAATTTCTCCTCATTTCAGTCCTAACAGGTCTACCCTCTTATGTTAAACTATGACCCCTGGCTCTGGATTCCCCCATTATTAGGAACATTCTTCCTGCATCTAACCTGTCTAGATCTGTTAGAATTTTATAGATTTCTATGAGATCCCCCTCAATCTTCAAAACTCCAATGAATACAATCCTAACTGATGCAATCTCTCTTCATACATCAGTCCTGCCATCCCAGGAATTAATTTGGTAAACCTTTGCTGCACTCCCTCTAATGCTTTGTATAATTGCAGAAAGACATCCTTGTTCCTGTAATCAAATCCTTTTGCTATGAAGGCCAACACACAGTTTGCCTTCTTTACTGCCTGCTGCACCTGCATGCTTACTTTCAGCAACTGGTACACAAGGCCACCCAGGTCATGTTGAACATACCCCTCTCAATTTACAGCATTGAAATAATTTGAGGCTCTGGGTGGCATTATTGAAAAACAAGTAGGAAGTTTCCAGAGGAAGTGGAAATGATACAAGAGGGAACAAGTGTATTAAGGAGGGAACGTGGGTATTATGGAATGATCAGATCTTTGGAAAGTAGCAAATATTGAGTAAAGTATGCCAAGCAGCATCAGAGGAGT